AAGCCGACAGGAAATGGGCTGATGTCGGAATCTGTTAAGTTCCTGCAAGGGCCGGCAATCAACAACAGTCAGACTAGTTAGGTAAACATTCACTTGGCTATCTTTCATACATGTACGTAGGCATGATTGGATTCAGGTACTGTACAGGCAGAACATTTCGTCGGTCAAAAATTTCGTCCAACTTCAAAGAAAGGGAGCTCGTCCGGTTGAAAATTTCGTCCATGGATCATAAGAGTGTATTGAAAAGCTGGACAAATCGACATTAGCCCGGCATTTAATTCAGTCCAAAAGCTCCTTGGACGAAAAAGACGAAATTAAATTCCAGACGAATATTTCTGCTCATACAGTATACGATTTCCATCGGAGAAAATACATGCCTTATAATCCCTTTGTCATGTAGCAAAGCATCATGGCAGCTACCTGCACTATTTCTTGGATGAAATGGTGGCTGGGTCAAAACCCTGAAGCGCTCTCTGCTCCCTAGCTGCTATTGCCGTACTTCCTCACATACAGTCAGCTATGCTAATAACGACTGCGGACATAATGGCAATTCGCGAATAACAAGAGAATTTCCATGCCCAGGGCGAAGTCTCTATCTGTAATACATAATAATGAGACTTCAGGTATAAGGACACTTCGCGACTAAGGATACTTTTCTGATGCCCCGCCGAGTGTCGTTATACTCAAAGTTACCTGTATGAGCGCATGTGCTTATAAGCAAAAAATTGCTGCAATTTGTTTGCTGTGTAAACACAGGGCACAGAGCACCACGCATCATTCATTGTATCTAATACTTTCATTCCCATAGGCCACCATCAGACAACTAATGATTGCCTAGGGGCGTGAAACCATTAGTTACAGCGAATGATGCGTGGTGCTCTGTGCCGTGTGTAAGAGATAGCTCTATTTGAACGAATATTGAGCACTCTACCAAGTCGGATGACTCTCATTTGTTGCTGTGTAAATATATCCCGGTAGAAGCACATGCGCTTATATGTGCAGTAAAGGTTTGTCTGTGTCTTAACAACAATGGTGTTTTATCACAATGCTCAGGGGAATATTCAGCTCGTGGGTTTTTCACCAATGGAGTTCACATACAAGCAGATGTGCTTATAGTTGGGGGTGCGCTTATGTCCAGACATAAGCGCATGCGCTCATGTGTGCGGAAGTAAGGTATTTAAAAGTGCCATCCTGTAGGTTTTTATATTTGCTGACTCAAATTGGTATTTTTTTTAAGAACTTTGAAGCTCCAGTGTAGCCTAGTCATATTATCAGCATACCCAACTCGCAACACACGTATAGACCATGGCTACACCACGTGCAATGAGTGTCCAAATTTGTTGGGTGCACTGAAAACTCAACTGGGTAGTTTACTGTTTAGAGAGAGGCGAACCCCAGAGACTCGAATGCACTAGTGCCGAAAACTCTGCAGCACAAGAGATCTATTCCAAATGTACATTTCGATGGCAAACAACGATGCCAGCTTAGTTGCGTCCTCATACACAGTGAACCTGGCGAAGGGAAGAACTAGGATAAGAATTTAGAAGAACTGGTATCCATAAATACTTCGGATCGATCATATGTACAACATATGGACAAGAAGAACTCTTGCACACATCCGTTTCCCACTAAAATAACCGGATGGGAGAAGGAACCGGATAATCGAATACACATACTGTATGTATGCATGCTATGCAGCATGCTGTAAATCTCTAACCAACGAGTTTCTTCCGGATGGCAAGAGCTCCGGATAAAAGAGGACTGGATAAACGAGGTCTGATTGTATTGCTAACAAATATCACCAGTCCCTTGGGGTTCATCATGAAGAGATGTCACTGTACACTTTAGAGTACACATCTTTCGACATTGACTTTTCTCTCTGACGTTTTCTGAAGGCTGAGCTCTTTCCTCTATGTTTGCTGTGGAGCCTACTGTTAATTTTTTTTGTTTTGTTTTGAATTCTTTATTCTCACGATGGCACCATCGCCAATAAGAGATGAGTTTATAAGAAGGTGAGGTGCTGTGGATGTAGGCAGTATTGCTGCCTCCTGTCATTGGCCCGTATAGTCGTATCAATTATAATGTGCACGAGTGCTAATCTGTTTGGTAGGATGTTATTGCCAAATCTCCACTGGGTACAACATTTCCAATTCCAAAAAAACGCACAAAAAAAGGCAGTTGGCAGCATTGGACCTTGTTGTAGGAGTGGGGGTTATGCAGGAATCAGTGGACTCATACACGCAGATGAGCAGACACCTGCAAGTACACCGTCATGCGCGTACATACGGATTCATGTGTACACTCACACAGACGCACACGCTCGGATGCGCACCTATCTCACGCATACACATCCCCCCCCCCCCCCCACACACACACATGCACACATACACACATACACACACACACACACACACACACACACACACACACACACACACACACACACACACACACACACACACACACACACACACACACACACACACACACACACACACACACACACACACACACACACACACACACACACACACACACACACACACACACACACACACACACACACACACACACACACACACACACACACACACACACACACACACACACACACACACACACACACACACACACACACACACACACACACACACACACACACACACACACACACACACACACACACACACACACACACACACACACACACACACACACACACACACACACACACACACACACACACACACACACACACACACACACACACACACACACACACACACACACACACACACACACACACACACACACACACACACACACACACACACACACACACACACACACACACACACACACACACACACACACACACACACACATCCTCCCAACACATGAACACGCACACATCCCCCCCCCCCCCACACACACACACACGTGTGCGCATAGCCTAATACGAAAAGAGCATTGTCCTTGATTCCACAATGTAATTGCTTACACCATCCGCAAGTGGGTTGTTGTATTGAAAAACAGTGGCTGGAATGCAAACGGAGTTGGACACCTGACAAAGGAACTGCAGGTAGAGCACAGGAAGAGAGGGAAAAGGGAAAATCAATGAAAGTTCCCAAACAGGACATGGAAAAAAGAAAGAAATGTCATTCAGCTAAAAACTGGCAATGCATCAGGTACAAAGAACAGAGCAAACACACCTGGCGTTTGACCAAGATAAACACACCAACACACACACGTGCACACGAACACGCACACACACACACACGCACACACACACACACGCACACGCACACACACACACACACACACACACACACACACACACACACAAACGCGCAAATACACGCGATACTCGAGCTACACTCGCCTCAGCACAATCCAAACAGGTCGTTATGGTAGTTCACGTTACAAACAAAGCCCTGCACAATGCGTACAACTTGTGCTTTGTGATTGGGGTTATTATTATTATTTTATTTATTTTATTTGTGCTGGTAACATAACGTGACCGGGGGGGGGGGGGGGGGGGGGGCTGACTTTCAACCAGCCATGCTACAGAGGGGAGCCACTCAGGGTGCATGATCACTATTCACAGTACGTATCGTTCCTGCAGCAGTCGGGTTAATGTCACCTTATGTTTAATACATTAATCTGCCCAAGCACAGCATACCAATGCATACACGGTGACTGAGCTGTGCATAGAATGTAGTATAATGTACATGAAAATATAATTATAATGGTCAACAGTCCATTCATAAAAAGATGGGCCCTGGCAATGGCAAGCTCAATTTTTTGGCGATTTTATCGTACATGGTGCAGTGCAGCGAAATTTGAAACTTGAAAAGAGTCCAAAAAAGCTACCTCAATTGGGGTTCGAACCGCACTGCATGTACTGTTGCAAGTAGAGTGAAACGGGCTGAATTTTCCTAATTCAGTGCATTTGGAGCAAAACCTGGCCGAAATCCTATTCTTGTTTCGGTTTGCTCTTTGGAGAAATAGACTCCCGACACATAATCGGAATACATTCCATAGGGGATTGCCAACAAATCCAAAAAATCAAAGTTTGACCCATGTATGGCCAAAAGCTACGTGTAGAAGTTCATCTTTTTTATGAATGGACTGAAGGCTAGGAAGCTGACACCCCCCTCCCCCGATTCTTCGGCGACCGACAGTACCGATGTCCCCCTCACTGTTGCTGTGTTCTGCCCTTGTTGGTGCCAGCCCCACACAAGGGCTATTACAGTCATCGCAGAGGTCAAGGTGCACTCTATTTCCGACGGGACACGCAATTTCATGTCACGTTTGGCGTAAAACTCCGAATTTTGACGTGAACTGCCGTTCACTCGCGTTGTTTTTCGACTAGGGGTGAAAGTTGGCATTGAGATCCCGAGTTCGAGTAGTCTGATTTTGTCCGATCGAAAATACGAGTATTCGAGTATTCTTCATCTCCTAAAAATTGCACACCGAGGGCCTTAAAATCACATGATACAACCCTGATTGAACCGAGTGGCAGTCATTTTTCTCGGATATATTGGTTGGTGGGTCATTTGGGCTCTCTTTACTCGTGAACAAATTTAATGTTCACCACACAGTCTGCACATTAATATCCGCCGACTGCTGCTCTGAAACTGCAGATTTCTGTGGTAAATGCACGTACCATGTATGAATGAGTACTCTGATTTTTTCCGAGTACGATTATTTCTGGAAAAAAAACCGAGCGAGTACTCAAGTATTCGGAATAATTGTTTCATCCCTATTTTCGATGCACGAGCCAAAAAACGCGACCTGAACTTTCGCATCACGTCAGAAAATAACGTGCATCTTAACCTCTCTCTATTGCTGCTACGGTCCTAAATAATCTCACCATTTGTGTCATGCATCTCCTTGCAGTACTCTCTTTTGTTTCTCACCTTATTTTTTGGTCCGCCGTGTTTGGCTACCACCCGACTTCTCATAAATTTTGGCAGTCTTACGACGAGCCAGGAGAT